ATCATAATTTTTCATTTCCTTTTCATGTCTTTCCCCTTGATTCATCAAGGTGTTCTATGCTTTCGAATCAATTATTGATCTGTATTACTCTTGAGTATAAAATAGACTCCATTAATTCTAATAGTAATAAGAATGGCTTTATGTTGAATAAAGTCATTATTATTATTTTTGCTGCTATTAACTTACATAGGAATTACTATATATATAACTTTACGTATTGGTTCCATGTGGACATGTAAACAATGAACAAACATGATAATGTAATAGAGAGTTTATAATATTAGATTACGTAATGTAAATAATAACAAAAGTTTTTGTGTGTAAGCAAAAATAAAACACCTTGTGTAATTAATAACTTAACAACAGAAAGAGGTTTTGTGGCGATTGTCGTAGTTTGATAGTTGAATTCATGAGTCGATTGAAGCTAGACCACCATGGAAAATCTGAAAGCACTGGATGGTAGTTTAGTCCTAGTATGGGTTCCTTCAGCAGTGCTCATCCACGATCCCTCACAGATTATAATGTGAATAGAGTGAGATAATTAAAACGTTTTTGATGCAATAATCAAAGACAACAGAGGGGTTAGATGAAGTGAAGTGAAGTCTGTATGGTCATGAAGATATGAGAAATAGTTGAAGAGAGAGTGGGACATTTTCAAATACGAAATAAAATAGTAATGGTAATAATAGTTTAATTCATTTTTGCGTTAGTTGTTTGAATTATCCCATTGATGTTTAGGACTGTAATTTATCAGTCTCTTATTGGTATATATGTATCCTGTACGGACTGCCCCGATATTGCCTCAAGTCACTAGCGTTATAAGCAAAGATGGATGGTGGCTAGCAGTGAAATATAGGGGGCGCCTTTCGTCCTACTTCGAACTCATCAGATAAACATAGTTTAAGGCTATGGTAAGGCTAAAGATAAGACGTACTGCTCTTGTATGAATAGTTATGACTTCATTTTAGGGATGGAAAAGAGTTTCTGTTGTTTTAAGAAGTTGGATATTTATTTCAATTTTTAGTTAATATAAAAGTTAGTTTCTTCTTAACTGTGTTGTTTACAGTTATCATCATATGTTTGTAAAATTCTTCTCCTGGAGACTCTCGAATTTTTTGAATCCCATTTATCATTTGTGAAGTGTGCTGTAAATGCCAAACTGAGAAGTGTACGAAATGTAGGTATCAACTGAAAAACCTGAGGCTGTGTTTTAATGGGATGGCAAGCCATGTTGTATTTTAATTCATCATTCAACGGTTTACATAAAATTTTGACTTCCAGTAGCATCAATACAGTGAGGATCACTTTCTGGACAATATTCTGAACATACATATCTTTAAATAAGAAGGTATCTATGGGGGTACCTCCGAATAATATATTGATTTGAGTCTTTTAGGAAGCACCATATCTTCAAACACTACGTGTGATATACGTTCATAAGCTGAAAAAGTCAGAAATTGAAACTGTAAAGGATTTGATCAAATAACACACCTTTTAATAAACACTTACAAAGTCAACGTTTTATGTATCTCTTTAGTCGATGGGAAATTAATGTAACGGATTTTCAACCTCCATTTGTGTTTATGGACCACTTCTTTACAGCTGTATAGGGTAAGATGGGACAATATCTTCATTATCGTGACAGATTGGGTGTAAATACTTTTGAAAAATCCTCAGTCGGATTATTGTCATTCCGTGATATGACTCTGCTACTCATACTTAAGTATATGATGAAACTTTCAGACCTGTATCATTGTTTGCAGTTCAGATGCCATAAAACTGAAGTTATTTCCCTATCTGCTGGGACTTGGTAAACAAGTATACCCATGTTTTTTATTAAGGCTAATAGCACTAAGGGGTTTCCCAAATGAATGTTAATATATTACTACACTGTTTAAACCCTAGCTCTCAAATATGCCATTTGTCTCAAGTACCACTTATCTCATTACGCTCTCCAAATTTCTTCAAGTAGTTAGATTTCCTAGATATTTGAATAAATATATTGTACTTAGGTAGGAATAACCCTACTATTCTATGCTTAGTTGTGGATCATTAGCCAACTTCTAATCATTTATTTTGAAAAACAAAAACCAATAGTCGTATTTATTTCATGCCATCCATGATTATGTTGGTAAATGATTTGCGGATTGAAAGTGTAATGCTTAACAATCAATTGTATAATGTAGTAATATCAAGTTAATAACATGTTGTTAGGAGTCAGTACTCAGTTCTGTTGAATTTGAGTATTCAGTTAATTGCAGAACGTCTAATTGAGATGTCAGTTTTTAGTGTTCTGCCATTCAGCAATTTCTTTCATTGTTTCATTATCCCTATAATCACACTCTTATTTTAAAATAGTAATAGGAAACCTAGATGCATGTTTTCTTACCACCGCTAACCAGCAATCTACAATTTATCTCGAAAAACTTCTCATCAGAACATTTTGCAAATCCAACCATGTGTTTTCATCGGTTACATGTTAGTTGAAAATCCAAGTTAACATTCAATAACTTACCGTCATAATAATTTTCATCTTGATTAAATATAAAATCACCTAAATACGGAAATTGAAATATAACCTATCATTTTTTTCTTTTACATTATTAGAATCTTAATCTATGTATACTATTATGGTTGCTTGGTCTTAGACTATTAATAGTTTCTTCTACCGGACATCTATTCACTGACATTTTGATACGTCTTGTAGACTATCAAACATATATAATAAATGTTATATTCAACAAATGATTAGATGTTTGTGATTATCGATTTTATAGACATATATTGATTTATCAAGTATTTTATCAGTCAAGTGAACTAACCAACAGGTGAATAGTTGAACACATTTGCAAAATATTTATCATTCAGTAGTACTTTTCGGTTAGGTAGTTAAAAGAATCAGAACTAAGCTTTCCTAACCCAATTTCGGAGTCGTGGATGTGTAGATCATCGACGTTGATGACCTCTGTAGAGTGGTTGGGGGCCTACTAGAGTTAGACGGGAATAGTGTGACCAATAGCTAACGTCAAAGTCACACCTCGCGATCAGGACCTAACATGTACTACCACTTTCGTCGTATCAAGGTACGATGGATGCTTTGAAGACCGTACAACACAAAGGACGTTATTACAGAAATACATTAGTTAAAGTAGGTACAAGCGAAAATCTGACCACCACCACATGGGCCACTTCATGGCTTACGATTAACTGATGCGCGTTGGCTGTCCTTGACCTTGACGGGGATCGATAACCTTTTCGATATTCAGTGACCCAACTGTCAGGTGATTTGGCTAGGGCTCAGTGACATTTCACTGGCCTTACAGACGTTTCGATTGAAGCATTTTGGGATACGACCAGCCTACTGTAAACCTATATATAAAAATAAATCATGAATAATTACAAATGTCATCATCTCCTTACAGCATATCGATACGTCTTACTGAAGGGTTTCATGAAACACAAAGACCGGATTTTTATACTAGTTACCTCAAGCCATGATGTTTACCTACTAATCATGTTACTCCTCATGGAGGAGCATAGGCTGCAAATCAGCACGGTTAGCGTTCTTTTAGCGGGTTAGTTTTCTAGGGGATGGGGTCGCTAACCCCATACCCAACCCTCCTCTTTTACCCGGGCTTGGGACCGGTAGTAACTGTAGAAGAGCTACATGAGGAGTTCAAGCCATGCACAATGAGACAAATCGCACTACGATTTTGAAGGACTTAGCTTAGTAGACATACTTTAGTGAGAGAGAAACAAATGTATTTGAATACAACATCACAGGATCTCTTAATGAAATCTAAGAACCATACAGCAAATGCTTCATTTGGAAAATATCCATCAGTTATCTCAGATTTGAATGTTCCATCGTTTCTACACCAATAACTCTCTATACTCATTCTCATTCTCTTCTCTTCGATCTTTTTTAACCTTCTGCTGCTAGGCATCTCACTTTCACTTGATGATACATACTACTTATATCTATCGACATCAGTAGCACATATCAAAATATTATAAAAGTGATTAGTAGAATTATATTAACATTCATGACTTGACAATATGATATTTATTACTATTGAATAATTAGATTACTTTATTGTTGATAATAACACCCTTTTCATAATTATCCATAATTGTATATTAGAAATTCATCTTTATTATGTATTATTATTGTGATCATAACCATTTAATGCCTATTTATGATTTGTCATTATATATTGTTCTGCTGTAAATAACAAAATACTCATAATTAACTATGTTGTAATTAACTTATTATTATTCCCGAGTTATTTGTTTTCATAATAGGCAAATTCAGAATCCGTTGACTAGCTTTAATTGTTTAATATGAACTCATGTTTATTATTGGATTATGGTATGTATATACTAACATATATATTTATATATCTGATAAGAATCTAGAATGTCTCATTCACAATTCATTGGATTCTTTGTTAAGAATATAGACGATGAGAAAAGAATAATACTGTAAATGTATATCACTTATATACTTTTCATTATAATGAATTAGTTTTATAATAGTGTTAATAATTTACCCTAATCAAAATAAATAGATAAATGAACTATAGTTGAATTCATACATTCATTTAGGAAAGTATATATCATTTGGTAGAGTAATCCGCCTACAGTCTATTTAATACAAAAAGGGTAGGTTAAGAGAGTTACTTAAAAGTGTAGCAATGTAATATCTTTCTATTATATTTTATCTAACCAATAATATACATCTAATAATTTAAATAGAGTTAACCCTGATTTATGTTGGCGTACTTGTGGCTGAATACTTCACTATATATTCTGGCAGTAAAAGCTGTAAAATTATTGAAAAGTTTATAATGAGTCAAACAAATGGACTAATTGGTATTCTGTTTAGGGGGTTAGTTGATTATGAAACGCAGAAAGTGGTACAAATTCATTCAAAGAAAATTGGAGTCACATTTAGACTTATACAATTAGGAATTATTCTCTATGTTGTATTATGGGTGATGATCTATGAAAAAGGTTATCAATCATTTGACCAAGCAGTGAGTGGAGTGACTGCCAAATTGAAAGGTGTCGCTTTTGCCAACGTGACTAATAATCCATCACTTGGAGCCACTGTTTGGGATGCGGCTGATTATGTGATACCACCACAACAGAATTCAGCATTCTTTGTGATGACCAATTTGATTTATACACCTGGACAGACATTGGGACATTGTGAAGAATCGCACGATGTTTTTGGTAATAGTTGTCACAATGATTCACAATGTCACTCTGGACAGTTAGTTCAACGTGGTAGTGGGATACAAACAGGTAAATGTGTGAATTCTACAAGGCAAGCAAATTTACGTGTGTGTGAAATATATGGTTGGTGTCCTACAGAGCATGGTGTTATTCCGAGACCTCATTTATTATCATCAGCAGAGAATTTCACTGTAATGATTAAGAATAACATTGAATTTCCTCATTTTCGAGTGAAAAGAAGAAATATTTTAAATTGGATGAGTCGTTTATTTTTGAAAACATGTTTATATAATCCAAATGATGATAAATTGAAATATTGTCCAATTTTCCGTCTCGGTGATATACTGAAATATTCTGATCCAGTAAATAAAGATATATGGGAGACTGGTGGTATGGTATCAATTCACATTGAATGGAATTGTAATCTAGATTTCGATGAGGAGAATTGTTTACCGAAATATGTATTTCGTCGATTAGATGACTTTGAAAGTAATGTGGCGAATGGATGGAATTTTCGATTTAGTCAACATTACATTGATGGTGGTGTACGTAAACGTAATTTGATTAAAGCTTATGGTATCCAGTTTTTCATAACAGTGTATGGAACTGGTGGTAAATTCAATATTTTAACATTTTCAATGAACTTTGGTTCTGGATTAGCACTACTTGGTATAGCTACTATGTTATGCGATTTGATTGTGTTGAATATTACAGAAAAAAGAGACATTTATCGTGAAGCAAAAATTGATTTAATTGCTGAAAAAATAAATGTACACCAGTCTAGTGAAAAACTTAACATTCATGATGATTCTTATCCAGTAGTTAAAGAAACCAAAAGTGATCAGAAACGTCATTTAATTATTCGACGTCATCATGAATTTGTCAGAACACCTGATTCCATCCGTCGATCTCCATTTCCATCGATAAAGCAATTCATTATTGAAAGAAGTCCACTATCATTTAAAAGATCAAATGTTACTCCTATAAACTATAACCCTGAAATAAAATCAAAACAAAATCATACTTTGTTAATTCAATCTAATTTGTTTCCGAAAGCACCGGTATCAAAGGAAAATTTAATTACAATCAACTATCATGAACAATGTAAACAAAAAGTAACTTCAATTATCAATAAAACAGATAACAATTTCAATAATGCTTCAATTTTATCTAATAAGTCCCATTCATCAATTTCTAATTTATCTAATATAGCAACATTTCAAAAGTCTGATGTCTCAATTAATCCATGTACTACTTTTAGTAATCATACTACTAATAAACAACAATATTGGAAACTACAAAGACTTCTTCAGGAATGAGAACTAATTTTTTTTTTAAAGTAAAAGGTATCCAAAGCATTTTAGGTTTAAATCTCATTGGAATCACATTTATGATTATATCTGTTAATGAAGTGAATTGTTGAATATAATTTGTCTTTATCATTACTATTACTATTATGATAGTTGTTCTGTTTCTCTATGAATCACATCAACAATGACCATACTGAGTTTCATAGTAATTAATGTTGGTACATAAAAACAGGATTAATATGGAAATTTTTAAAAAATACCGTAAGCTTCTTGTTTACTGTTTCATCTTGTAGGTGGTAATTAATAAATTTATTCAGTACGGTGATTTAATATACTATATTTATTGACTTTTTTAATGCGACGAATTGCGATGATTATTGAGTTTCAATGAGTTACATAATGGACAAATCAAAAAAGCGATGAATAGGTGTAAAGTCCAGATGTAAGTCTTCTCAGGACTAAAAATCTAGGTTATCAGTGGGTTGCGTCAATAAGACAAACGTAATATGGAACATGGGTTAGTGTACCAGGAGTACAGTTAATCAAATCGAATAGAAACACATTCTGTAACAACCGGTGAACAGTGATTGCAAATTCAAACACACGCATTCAAACACATTTTTCAAATATCCAACACTGAAAATAAACATTCACATCCATTTCATTTGGTCGAATAATCATAACTCCCAGCACATCAACACACAAATTATGGACATTCTTATTCGCCGTCCAAACAACAACATGAAAACCTCCAGTTTGTAAGTCTTTACCAAATGATATCGATTCACTCTGATGAATAGAATTTACAATACCACAAAATCGTTATCATTAACACCGTTAGATACCGACTCAAAGGTCTACAGGTTAAGTGATCACGCGTGAGACTGAAGGACCTGGGTTCCAATCCCGCAAGTGAGATCGTAGGTGCGCATTGCTTAGGAGTCCCACAATAAGACGAAATGGTCGTCCAGTGCTTCCAGATTTTCAATGATGGTCTAACATCAATCAGTTCGTGATCTCAATCAAAAAGTCTACAAAATGATTAATGACATTGAGTGTGACATTCATATCATATCAATGACATGTGATCAATTCAGATTTATATTGATGTATTCAATCACATCGCCCTAACAACTCACTACTACTACCACCACCACCACCATCAACAACAACAACAACAATCACAATTAAATGTAATGGAAGATTTCTGAAATAGCAATGTGTAGCATAATTTACAATAATTTCTAATGAAATCAATTAATTATGTATATGTATATGTATGTAAGTATGCACATCACATCAACAGTTTTCCTCATGTAAATTTCCGTTGTTGTTTCATTTACTACTCAACAGTTTAACAATGAATTAATTGAACAAACAGACATTATAGTCTTCGAAAGATAGTCTCATTCTTGACTACACTTCCTGAAATCAGACTATGCTATATCCTGTCTGGAATATATATTTCTAGATGAAAATATTTTTCATAAAAAATCTTTTTCATTCACTTTATCATCTCCAAAATTGATCAGATTGTTAAAAATCTTTTTGAGAATAACTAATTAATTTGAAATTACACAGTCTGCATTATTTCTTGCTAACCATGTGTGTGTTCAGTTCAATATCAAATGTATAATAAAGTGTTAACACAACTCTAGTGAAGGAAGTATTTCACATTCGATTATAAAAGTTAAGAATGAGACTATAGTTCGAAGATTATAATGTCTGTTTGTTCATTGTGGGACTCCTAAGCAATGCGCACCTACGATCTCACTTGCGGGATTGGAACCCAGGTCCTTCAGTCTCACGCGTGATCACTTAACCTGTAGACCTTTGAGTCGGTATCTAACGGTGTTAATGATAACGATTTTGTGGTATTGTAAATTCTATTCATCAGAGTGAATCGATATCATTTGGTAAAGACTTACAAACTGGAGGTTTTCATGTTGTTGTTTGGACGGCGAATAAGAATGTCCATAATTTGTGTGTTGATGTGCTGGGAGTTATGATTATTCGACCAAATGAAATGGATGTGAATGTTTATTTTCAGTGTTGGATATTTGAAAAATGTGTTTGAATGTGTGTGTTTGAATTTCCAATCACTGTTCACCGGTTGTTACAGAATGTGTTTCTATTCGATTTGATTAACTGTACTCCTGGTACACTAGTGTCATTTTTTTTACAAAATTCTCATGAGAAATACTAATATTTAGGTGTTATTATTACGTGTGTATATTATGTTACCCAGTTTACTAGGATTTCCCTCTTTGTCTTCATCGTAATCAATATCATTTGATTTATTATTGTTGATTTTGATACTTATATTGTTGCATATGTGTATAACACTGACTCATTGCATCTAGTTGGAGATTAAGAAACACAGGTAGCTCTCAGGTGTTAAATTAAAAACACATTTTCAGTAAAATGATTAGAAGTGAGTGGCACTGTAGATGTGCTTTTGCATGTTGGCCATTTGTGGAAAGGCATCAACTTGGTAAAGCGAATAAACTGTGGAATATTTATAAACCATCTTTCATATTTCTTTCATTATATAAGATGTTCATGATATTGTTAACAGAGGCTCTCTCGGTTATGCGTCAGTTCATTCCGTTGATCAATATATGATAAAAGGGCATGCTTATTGTGAAATCTGATTTCAAAAAGCACCCAGTAAATATGATCTAAATTACATTCATTCAGCACATTTGATTTTGTTCTTTCACGGATTGATGATATAAGGAGATACCACTAAGATGCTTATTTACTGAATAAAGGATGCGATTTGCTAACGGCACATAAAATTGTTCATCTGGTTTATGATTTAGACCAACTGTCTTTTGTCTTTTCCGCTACTTTCAGTGTGTCAACTCCGGACAACGTGAAAATTTCAAGCAGGTAATATTCACTGATGATGCAGATATGACGAATGTTTTGCACTCACAACATCGTCTATAGTATGTAATAGTAGCTCAGCTCGTCCAAACTTTGAAATGTTACCGTCAAGTTTCTAGTCTGTTTCTTTGCATTTGCACGATTGAACATTATGTCTAATTTTCTATAATCACTGGTCAGAAGTGAGAATTAGGTGCCGAGATTTTTCACTTGTGGTTAACAATAAGAGCATAATAGATAATCATTAGTTATGATTTTGTCAAGAACACTGACGAACTTAAAAGTTTACATTATTTCCGATAGAATTTTTTTAGAAATTCGGTGTTCACCAGTGTTTTTCACAATGAAGAACAGTACTCTATACCGTTATTACAAGTGCTGAAAGTAAATGAATATGAGTGAATATGATTATAAATGTATTTTGTATGGGGAAGTGATATCACATGATTGATGATGCATTGTGATGAAAGTCTCATTGTAAGATGGTTAGTATTGTAATTATCACACCGATTTTAGTCACAAATATGTCGTGATTGATTCATGTTAGCATACAAACGATGTTTTCAATTGTTCTACAGAACATTATCTTCACAGTACCATATTATTTTGACAGTCCGCAATGACTGACAATAAAAATATGTGATATGGTAAACAATAGTGCATATTTGATAATAATTTTGAGCATCACAGGTCAACAGAACGTGCGAAATTACCGAAATTAAGAGATCACCAAGCAACTGTTTCGATGTAGTTAGTATGGGGCTATGGAGAATTTTCGTACTTCAGTGAAACAACTAACCGTGTCGTGTGTGGGGAATGTAGTCAGAGAAGACAGTGGAAGGCGGTCATGCATTATCGTTGGTTGGTTGAGGTTTGACTTGTACATCAGGGGATTACTTACTTACTTACTTACGCCTGTTACTTCTAATGGAGCATAGGCCACCAACCAGCATTCTCCAACCCACTCTGTTCTGGGCCTTTTTTTCTAATTCCATCCAATTCTTGTTCATTTTTTTCATGTCTATCTCTATTTCCCGGAGTAATGTGTTCTTTGGTCTTTCTCTTTTCCTTCGGCCTTGAGGATTCCATGTGAGGGCTCGTCTTGCGACGCAGTTGGGTGCTTTCCTCAATGTCTGTCCTGTCCACTTCCAGCTCTTCTTCCTAATTTCTTCCTCCGCTTGGGTCTGGTTTGTTCTCTTCCCCAAATAGGTTGTTGCTGATAGTGTCCGGCCAACAGACCCGAAGTATTTTGTGTAGACAACTGTTAATAAACGCTTGTATCTTCTGGATGATGGCTTTCGTAGTTCTCCAGGTTTCTGCCCCATACAGTAAAATTGTCTTGACATTTGTTTTGAAAATCCTGACCTTGGTGTTGGTTTCCAATTGTTTTCAGTTCCAGATGTTCTTCAGTTATAAATATGCTGCTCTTGCTTTACCGATCCTTGCCTTCACATCTGCATCAGATCCACCCTGTTCATCAATTATGCTACCCAGATATGTAGAGATTTTTACATCTTCCAAATCTTCTCCGTCAATTTTGATAGGATTGGTGCATGCTGTGTTGTATCGGAGAATCTTGCTTTTCCCTTTGTGTGTATTGAGACATATTGCTGCTGAGGCTGCTGCTGCATTTGTTGTTGTGATTGCGATAGGAGGGCCAGATCATCTGCGAAGTCTAGATTGTCCAGCTGCATCCTAGATGTCCACTGTATCCCACGTTTCCCTTCAGATGTTGACGTCTTCATGACCCAGTCGATCACCAGGAGAAAGAGAGAGGGTGAGAGTAAGCAACCTTGCCTGACACCGGTCTTTACCTCGAACGAGTGTGTCAATTGTCACACCACGGGATTACGGTTCAATTTTTCGTAGGTAGAGTTTTTGAGCGGAATACTATAGGTCGTGGGTTCTACACCATTCTGTGTGAAAGTGGATAGGCACTGTTGAGTAATGCCGTGCTAATACGCAAACGCCATCCAGTGCTATCAGGTTTTTAATGGTTGTCTAACTTGAAATAGTTCATGGTTTCAACGGTACTTCGTTATAGTTAAATGTTCGTCAGCTACGAAGACCCTCAATCATTTGTCTCAATCTAACCGACATCCTACTTGTCTCCCCTCCTAGACGATAAATTTAGACATTTTGATTTGGAGTTAAGTGACTCCACTTATATTATCCCAGCCAATTAGCGATCACACTTACTTCATTTGTATGGACAATACCGATTAACCGTTTCAGTGGATTCCATCATATTCCTCTACATTCAAACAATTTTTATTATACACTAAAATAAATGACACTGCTTTGTTCATACTCAATGGTTTTTAAATTTCTCATTTAGTCAAAGATCCCTGGTTACTTGCTTACTTACTTACCTGTTACCTCTCGTGGAGGAGCATAG